ACTCGTCCATAAAATGCGTTGCACAAATTCGAACATCTGGGTTGTGCTGTTCTGTTGTAAATAAATCTTAACCAATGATTCCTAATTGCATCTACTTCCGGAAGGCCAAATAAAGTGCTTTTGCTTTCGCACTGAAACACAGCGTCTCCCTGACATGGCTGCATCAACATGACTGCTGCTCCTGAAACCACGCCTTCTTTCTTTGCGTACACATTTGGGCGGCATTATGCTAATATTTCCACATATTGACGTAGATATGTGGGGGCGTGTTAGAACGAGCCGTTTTAGGTAGGCGTGGCTGACTCTTAACTTTTATAAAGAATATCTTTATAATTTGAGACTTTAGTCTTTGCAACTTTACAGATCTTCTTTATGCACCAAGAGCTTGTAACACTCCAAAGAGAAAGGAAAACTTGAAATCGCATCATATGACCCCTTTAAATTGCAACTCTGTGGTCTTACCTGGTTTCACTTTAAATAAACAAAGAACTATTTGTAAGTAAATATGGACTAAAAGTGTTTTTTTTTAAAGATGTATTTTATGCTCAGCAAGGTTGCATTTATTTGATAAAATACAGTAAAAACAGTAATTACTCCAGTCTTCAGTGTCATATGATTCTTCAGAAAACATTCTAATATGCTGAATTCGTGCTCAAGAAACGTTTCGTATCATTATCAATGTTGAAAACAATTGTGCTGCCAAATATTTTTGTAAAAACCGTAATACGTTTTTTCTTTTATGAATACAAAGTTTAAAAGAACAAAGAAAGAGATTTGATTTCTTTTGCAACATTATAAGTAAATCTGGCAAACCTTTTGAAGCGTGACAGCCTGTGGTCATTATATACCCTCATTGTATGAACAAAAACAGTGTTGTGTTCGAGAAATTAGTTTTTATGTCTGCACTATTACTTTAAAAACTGTTCTGTACGTAGTTTATAGATTATTTGGGGCTGTCACTTTACTTCCTCTTTGGCGCAGGTGAGGAACATACACCTGCATTCACTTCAGATCTTCCCATGCTGATTACTACATTAATGCCCGCATGCGCACCGCGCGCGCTACGCGGCCTTCAGTCGCTGTGACGTTCGTTCCTATCAAAACGCATCCCACATCTCATTATCGTTTTGACATCTAATAATACAACCGGCATCATATATATTATTTACAGCGCAGTCCATGTGTTCATATATAGGCAGTTTCCTCGATCCACCATCTTCAAGCACAAACGCCGTCTGCAGCCAAATCAGATGCAATATAATACTGATGAAACGTCAACAGTCAGACGATAACGACAGGAAAGACATGAAACACATGAAAACTGCGATAAATTAGCGCGGCATTTCTTGCTTTGTTGAACACTGCATCTGTTTGTTTAAATTGAGTATTACTTATACTTTTTCGGTGGCAAGTCTTTTGTTCAGGTCCCGAGTGTTGTCAACCTGTGTTTCGGTCCGCTGACGTTCCAGCATCTGATCTCCGGCTCGTCGTCTTACCTTTTGGCAGCGCAGTAATTACAATAGCCGAAGACTGCCAGCTGCTCAGTGCCTAATTCATCCGCTCCTCCACTTCTGTTTAACCTTGCGATGTAACCGTTGGTAACCAGACGAGATATTTTACTGTGCGAATATTTACTGTGAGAGTATTTACAAATGTGTCCATAAGCCTCATAGTACAAGCGCAACTTCCGCCATCCGGGTGTGCCATTCATTCCCGTCCAGCTGCTCTGGAACTGGAAAAATGCTTGTGTGCAGTGTGTATTTAAAGGACCCATACACTATTTACTGATTTTTCGTATATTTTTAGGGTAAATTATACAATGAATGTAACAAAGTATGACAAGCCATCTGAACATTTATTCCATAAAATAACTAATATAATTTTCTGGCTGTTGCTGACAGGCCAACCTATTTCAATTTTACTAGTACGCTACTGTGCAAAAGTGTGTGGTCAGTAATGTTTTTAGTCTTTTGTTCATCAAGGCTCCATTTACTTCATCAAAAATGTCATTTAAATTGTTTATGTGCAGCCATTATTCCAGTCTTCAGTGTAACATGATCCCAAAGTCATTCTAATATGCTGAGTTACACTGAACAAAATTATAAACGCAACACTTTTGTTTTTGCCCCCATTTTTCATGAGCTGAACTCATACATATATATAAGTTAAAGGAATAGGAATAGTTAAAGGAATAAATATACAAATGTCATAACAGAGATCTTTTTATTTTCTCGGGACATTAATTTATCCATTGTTTGTTCAGGAGCTGAACTCTGCTTCTAGACAGCACTGTGCAATGTGGGATTGAGGGAAGAACTCATTTGATTTCCAAAGAATGGACATGACTGTAGTGAAATAGTCATACTGTTTTAAACACTGTGTGATCTGTAGAACAACACCACATTGTTTAATGTATTACAGTATATCATGTATTTTAACTGGTAGTTGTCACACATTTTGGTCAATTCTAACTACCAATAGTTGACCTAAATTTTGAACTTTGCAAAATATGCTCAATATAAAAATACAAAATCATCCCTAATAGTGACAGTAACAATATTTATATTGCATCTAAAAATCTTGCCAATGGGTGGCAGTATTTCACCAAGAATGTGTAAGGCCAGTCTTTCAAATTAAAAATACTTTTTAGTTATTAAATTATTCTCCACACTATGTGCATGTTTGTTTTGCATTTTCAAAACCTACCAGACTCAAATTGCTTAAGTTTAGCTGATGAATAAATATCCATTTATGAAACAGGAAATGTAGGGCCTACTTCCTGTAATCCCATCCAGCTTCCTAATAGGCCTTTTGTGTACATAGAAAAAGTCTTAGATCTTTGAGTTCAGCTCATGACAAATGGGGGCAAAAACAAAAGTGTTGCGTTTATAATTTTGTTCAATGCAGTACTCAAAATAGCATTTCTTACTACTACTTTTTTTTTCCAGAAATCTTTTATAACATTATAAATGTCTTTGCTAGGTGGAAAAAGCAATTAACATTTTCATAAACAACAAAATTCAAGCAAAAAAAAAAAAAAAAAATATATATATGTAGTGTAAGTCTAATGAAAGTCTATTCATTTGGTAGCAACAGGCACAAATGAGATACTAGTCTCTCATAAATAGGTAAACTGGAATAAGATATAGTACGAAGTGAAGTGAAATCTGAACCACATCCATAGAATTCAATGACCAAAAATTATGGCAATAGAGCAATAGTTAGCCTACTTGCCACTGAAATAGTGAATAGAAAAGAAAAAGTACTAATGAACCACTAGTGAAATTGTAACGGAAAAAAAAGAAGAAAACCTTGGATTACTTACAATAACAATATATGGTAGTTGTCACACATTTTGGTCAATTCTAACTACCAATAGTTGACCTAAATTTTGAACTTTGCAAAATATGCTCAATATAAAAATACAAAATCATCCCTAATAGTGACAGTAACAATATTTATATTGCATCTAAAAATCTTGCCAATGGGTGGCAGTATTTCACCAAGAATGTGTAAGGCCAGTCTTTCAAATTAAAAATACTTTTTAGTTATTAAATTATTCTCCACACTATGTGCATGTTTGTTTTGCATTTTCAAAACCTACCAGACTCAAATTGCTTAAGTTTAGCTGATGAATAAATATCCATTTATGAAACAGGAAATGTAGGGCCTACTTCCTGTAATCCCATCCAGCTTCCTCTTTGTCTTCATTTTCATCTTTCACTGCCCTCAGAGGGATATACCACCATGAACAACTTCTGCTCCAAGTGATTCAGTTTAACTATGTAGACAGACAACAGCAGATGGAATGTCTTTAGTAGCCTCTGTAGGCTTCATTCACAATCCGTTTAGTGCAAATATTGCAAATATAACTGACATTTGTACATAATTTTCATCCATCAATATTAATTGAGATTTAAGATATTGCCATACCAATAAATGAGTTGAAGCTCTTGGGCTTGTTTTCCCAATAGACGCCAAATAAATATACAGGAACACCTGACAACATGATGGCCAGACCTCTGCCACACACCACAGGCTCCGAGTACAAAGAGAAGATCAGCAGGAATGTCCAGAAAATCAGGAAAATTACTGGCCATGCCAAGCTCACCTGTGAAGTGAAACCTGTCGATTACGATAAAGGACTACAATTTCACAGTCCCCCTCCCCCAACCCAAAAAAGAAAATTTTTAATTATACATCATTACTGTTCACAGCAAAGGCTGAGATCTGACAGCTCTTGAGGTTTAACACTGTAAAAACTACAAAATAAAGTCATTAGGATTCACTTACCTTGATTGGCCGATGTATGTCTGGTTCTTTAATGCGAAGCACAATCTGTCCAGCAACAGAGACCCCATAAAACAGGTAGTTTATGAAGCCAACATAGTTGATGAGGGTGTATATGTCACTGGTGCACAACATCAGCAGAGTTGATATACACTATCAAACAAAGCAGTATTTGATTTGAATATAAGCACCTACCAACACATTGTATACCATTTACAAAAAAAGATTTTTTGATTATTTAAAGGAATAGTTCACACAAAAATGACAATTTGAGTAAAAATGTACTCCGCCTCAGGCCATCCATGATGTAGATGAGTTTGTTTCTTCGTCAGAACAGATTCTGAGAAAT